GGGAGGGACTATAATAGATACCGAGAAGTATTTTTGAGTGTTGAAGTACGACTTCTATGAAGATATGTTCGCCAGCATTTGCAGGGGGTGGGTTATATGAATGACATTGAAGTTCCTGGGTACATCAGAGAACTGAGCCGAGATTGTATCCGCAAGTGAAGGAATACTTATGAAACTGGTGTCACTACTGGATACCGAAAAATAATCTTCAATATCACTGTTACCGGTAGATGAAGTCATTGGTGTAACTTACAAAAGAAAATATGTCTCTTGTATAGAATAAATGATATATACACTGTGGCGGTATAGATATCACAAAAAATGAAACAACAGATAACACGGTTCAATATACGTCGGTTAAAATAAAAAAATAAAAAATTAGTACGAAAATACAGAAATGCAAATTTAGAACAAACTAAATACAATAAAATAATTTCCGAATTAGAACACCATTGATAACATGAGTCGGTGAACTGTACCTACACGGCAGCGTCGCAATGTCGGTGACATCAAAACGACGCCGCCGCCGGCGCCGCCGAACTTTACATTCTTATTACCTACCTACCAATCACTTCACTTGCTTTTAAAAATCTATTTATAAAGAATGCGATTTTATTCACGTGTTTATTTCGTGAATGCTCGACTAGCTTCCGACCCAGCAGTACGCGTCACTCCTTGAAAAAGTAGTTACCTTGGTTGTCTCGTAATCTTTGTACCGCCCTTACAAAAATTCGGCAGTCTGTAGGACAAACACGATTGACTCCATACGTGTCCGTAAAGCAAAAGATGCGTTTAGATAGAGTTTTCCATAAATTAACATCATAGCAGGATATTCCGCCGCTGTGAAGGTCACTCATGGCATTATGGATATTGATATCGATAACCCAATAAAATTAAAAGACTGATAATGCACTCAGTTTCACACTACACTACACACAGAACCTAATAGTGACTTTCCAAAATAAAATTAGCAGGACTCCTTACATTACGAAGTCTTGCGCACACGATAACATTAATTGTTCACACCATTGCCGTGTATTATGACGAAAGCAATAAGACTAAACAATTATTACCACAAGAAAACTTCTCTAAACAAATATGTATCTCATAAACAACAACAATATTATTATTACGGTTATTTGTCGTGAGCGCATCTACAAGGATACGGAATAGCATAAGCTCGCCGGTGGCCAAGGGCCGACTGACTGTCCTTACTGGATGAACTAATTAAAAACGCGTGTTGCATCGTGATGACGTAATAATCAACATATTTCGTTCGATTCGGGTGTAGTAAAAGCGGCAACGTGTGTACAGCTGATCGCCGCCTGAGGTCAATGTATTATGACTGCATGTACACATGATGTTGCAATTTACGAAACACAAAAATGAGTCCTGTGGCTAAACTACTGGATATATTTTGTTCATATTTTGCAAATCGCCTAGAAATTAAGGGCAGAATATGTGGCTTAAGTATTTGGGATAGGAAATGAAACTCTCTGTATATATATATATATATATACAGAGAGTGTTGTTGGGTGTTTCGCCTAGTTCGTGCAAATTCAGTGAAAATTCTAAATTTCAAATTATTGTCAAAAAACTTTTTTTTTTCTTATTTCATTACTATATAGTTAATTCTTCAACCTTTTATTGTTTCTACCTTATTTTTGTTAAAAACAATGAAATTATTAGCATATCAAAAATTGAAATGAGATAGTAATGAGAATGTTAAGGAGGGGAATGATTTTGAGCCGTTAGCTGTGGGAAATAGGGGTGCGAAGGTAATTGAGATACACAGAAGAGAATGACACAAAATTTTGTTATACAAAGATGCATTTTTAATATTTATGATTCAAGAATCTCATTGCTTGTTCATATCTATTTGACTCTCGCGCATTCAGTTTATATAATTGTTTGTAATTTCGTCAATAGATGGCGTTGGCGAGCAAATTAGATCGCGCTATGGTTTGGTTACACGTCCGGGTATATAAACCTTTATTAGTTACCAATAAATAACTCGCTCTGAGGTACTGAAGTTTTATTAAAACGGGTATCACTGGGATTTGGGGTATCTTGTGCCGATAAGTTGTACATGGTCCTTAGAGCCGAAGGGCGTTTTTGAACGTGGAACTGCTGTTGGAAGTGCTGTTGAGGATCATTGAGGACACTGGACATATACACATATACATACGTGAGTAGTGAAGTGCAAAGTGGACGATAAACTGTGAGTGCAATTTCAAGTGTTTATTAGTGTTAGTTAAACGAAACTTAGAAAAATTAAGGTGGTTGCTCTCAGGGACTTAAAATAGTTTCAATAAAAACGACGACACGGGGAACCTATGCCCGATTTTTTATCGGTACAAGCACCACAAACACTTTTAAAACGTACGCACGTAAACGTAAACGCCCGGTTTACATCTTAAAAAATTACTGAAGTCGACACTTAGAAAAATTGCACTCGACCACGCTTGTAACATAGGAACATAAAATACAAGATGGAAAAGGAACTAAGAAAGGTGAACTAAGAAAGAACTTCAAAGGAACGGATTACTTACAACTACGCGGATACGCGGTTAGAAATATTGGAGAATCAATTCAAGAATTTTTGTACCAAATATGAGAACATAGTCGGCGAGTGCGAAGGGGAAGAATTGTTCAACTATTTTCAAGAGGATATTTATGAAAAAGTTTATGAAACCTATTTAACTTATAGAGTAGAATTAAAAAATACATTGTCTCAATTAAAATTAAATAGCTCAAATAAAGAAGCTTGCAATGTCTCATCCGACAATAAAGTAAAATTACCTAAAATTGTATTACCTAAATTTAGCGGCAAATACACCGAGTGGTCGTCTTTTCGGGATTTATTTGTGTTTTTAGTGCACAATAATAAAACATTAGATGACGTACAACGTCTGCACTATTTAAAGACGCAATTGTCGGGTGAAGCAGAGCAACTTTAATAAGACATGTTCCAATAACAGACAGTAATTACAAAAAATTTTGGGAAACGTTAGAAAATCGGTATAATAATAAGAAATTTATGTCCACGTGTATCTTAAACAGATTATTTAGCCAACGTCATATTGTCACCGAATCTGCAAATGCATTAAAGGATCTTTTGGATGTTACAAGTGACTGTTTGCACGAGCTTACCAATCTTGGGATTGACGTGAGTTCTTGGGATGTTATTGTTATTTATGTAGTAAGTTTGAAGCTCGACGTAGAATCTCGGAAGCAATGGGAGTTGCATGTTAGTGAATTCTCCGACGATCTACCCTCTTTTAAACAGTTTAGCAAGTTTTTAGAGACGCGTTTTCGAGCCCTTGAATTTGTCGAACCTAAAGGAAAGTCTAAAGTTCTCCCTTCTACATCTCACTCCAAGGTAATGCATGGTTCTATTAGTATTACATGTCCGCATTGCTCCGACAATCACAAATTAACGAACTGTAAACAATTTTCCAAAGAGAATAGTGATGAGCGGCGTAGTCTTGCCCAGTCTTAGGGCGTATGTTTCAATTGCTTAGGACCTAATCACACTTCACGAGACTGTCGTGTTCTTTCGAAATGCCGAATTTGTCAGCGGAAACACCACACGTTGTTGCACCCTAAGAGCCCCCACCACAGGATATTAGTGCAAACATAGCAACTCATTTTGTGAATGAACGAGCGCAGGCTCAAGTGTTATTAGCCACAGCCCTCATTAAGGCTGAGTCACGAAATGGGTCCCCTCAAATTTTGAGAGCATTGCTAGATCAAGGATCGCAAGCATCCTTTATAACTGAGGCAGCAGCGCAATTACTTCGTTTAAGGAAAGTCGTATCGAAGACAACTATTGCTGGGATAGGAGGTGGTCATGGTGATATCGTCTCTAGACATGTCGTACATATTAACATACAGTCATTGCATGACCCTTCTTTCACCTTAAAGGTAACTGCGCATGTTTTAGGTGCACTGACCTCAGTTATGCCAGACGCAAGCTTTAACCTTCAGAATTGGCCAGAAATTTATAATATTAGTCTGGCTGATCCAAAGTTTAATTCACCTAACAAAATTGACATTTTGCTAGGAGCAGAAACATACTGCCATATTTTAAAGGTAGGATTAATCAAGAGTCCTACTGGTTCTGCAATCGCACAAGACACGCATTTAGGGTGGATTGTATCGGGCCAAGTCAATAAAGCAGAAAATTCACTCCATTCCCATAACACTGTTATCGCGATGCATACGCAAATTGAAGAGAACGAAATGTTAAAACGATTATGGGAACTGGATTCTGAACCGGCTGTAACTAAAAAGCCATTCACCCCCGAAGAACAGGCGTGTGAGAATTTTTATACAACTACAACGAAAAGAGATGACGAAGGTCGTTATGTTGTTAAACTACCTTTTCGTTCAGAAGATCCATCTTGCAAATATAGTAATTCTAAAAAGATCGCTGTAAAAAGATTGTTGGGACTGGAAAAGAAGTTGGCTAGGGATTTAAAATTAAAACAGCAGTATTGTGATGTAATAAAGGAGTATTTATTGCTGGGTCACTTAGAGAAAATCACTGATAAGTCTGAAAAATATAAAGATGATGCAGTTTACTTGCCTCACCACGCAGTGGTGCGACAAGATAAACTGACCACTAAGGTAACAGTGGTGTATGATGCGTCATGTAAGGGAACGAACGGCATTTCCTTGAATGACACCTTAATGGTAGGACCCACTCTCCAGGCAGATTTGCGACACATTGTTATGAGATGGCGATTACACCCTATCTGTCTGGCAGCCGATATAGTAAAAATGTATCGCCAAATCAAAGTTGCGCGGCCAGATACTGACTTTCAAAGGATTGTCTGGAGAGAGGATCCTAGCAAGGAATCAGAGGACTTCCGACTCCTGACCGTAACCTTTGGCACGTCATGCGCTCCTTTCCTGACAGTCAAGACATTGCAACAAGTTGCTTGTGATGAAGGTAAAAATTATCCATTGGCTGCTGATAGGGTAAGAACAGACTTCTACATGGATGATCTGATGACTGGCTGCCAATCTGAAATAGAAGTAGTAAAAATATATAATGAACTGAACAATTTATTAGAAAAGGGAGGATTTCAACTACAAAAATGGTCAAGCAATGGAATGCACTTATTGGAAGAATTAAAGGAAGATTCAGGAAAGGACTTGGAAATAAAAACAGATAAAGTAACAAAGATTTTGGGACTTACCTGGAACCACAACACTGATGAATTTGATTACTCGGTCCAAATGTCGCCTCCTCCTGCACCTGAAACAAAAAGAACGGTTATATCAGAAATTTCTAGGCTTTATGACCCCTTGGGATGGATAGCGCCATGTATAATTAGTTCAAAGGTTTTCATCCAAAAGTTATGGATTGCTGGCATAGGCTGGGATGATGTACTACCACCGGGACTCCTACAAGAATGGAGATATTACAGAACAGAATTGGAAAGGCTAGTTGACTTCCACATTCCTAGATGGATAGGCAAAAGCGAAGGAAATGTCGGGATGGAGTTGCACGGATTTTGCGATGCATCTAATATAGCGTATGCCGCTGTAGTTTACAGTCGAATCATCGATCGTAAACTACATCGATCATCAATCACTCCAATGGCGAGATACACTCACATCTGATAACCGCTAAAACAAAGGTAGCACCGATCAAGCAAATATCTGTGCCTCGTTTGGAGTTGTGTGGCGCTGTTCTCGCTGCAAGATTGTTGACCGAAGTAGCCGAGGTTATTGATGTTCCAAAAGCTAATATTTATTTATTTATTTATTTATTTTTAACTTTTTGCACAAGTACATGCATCGGCGGACTTAATGCCTAAGGCATTCTCTGCCAGTCGACCGATTGGGCGGTGCTGAGAAAGAATGAGGTAGGTGCATTTATGATAGGGTATAAACGATAGTGGTTTTGTTAAATACCAACTATCTTGGAATTTGATGTATACGTCGTAATACCACACACATACACATACATATACATACTCATAAATATATACATACATACATAGATACACATATATATATACATACACATACACATATATATATGAGAAAAATAAAAAAAAAATAAAAAAAAAATTAGCCGATGAACTAGGAGCTCGTTGAATCTGCCATTTTGCTCAGCAATAGCTCTTTCACTTTCGTCTTAAAAGAGTACCGATTTGTAGCCATCCTGACTTCGTGAGGAAGCGCATTCCATAAGAGGACAGCCTGGACAAAGAACGAAGAGCCGACAAACCCAGTGGTGTGAGAAGGACAGAGTAGAAGAAGATTGTTGGCCGAACGAAGGTTTCTGTTGTGGTTGTTGAATATCCATGCTTGGACCGATTCGTCGGTTGTCTTGGCGTGGTTAAGTGATCATCCCAGTCGTTGGAAAACCTACGTGGCCAACCGAACATCCGAAATATTAAGTCTGTTAGACAATACTCAATGGGCTCACGTCCAGTCCAAGTTTAATCCAGCGGACATCGCTTCTCGTGGAGCCACTTCAGCTATTTTACTTAATAGCGATCTTTGGAAAAGAGGGCCAAGCTAGTTACGAAACGATCCAGTGGAATATAACAGGCCTAGTGCAATACGCACCAACGAGGAAAAGAGAACTGTGAAGGTCCATGCAGTCAATTTGGGGTGGGATTTTGATAAAAATTGGGGATCAAAGTTTTCGTCACTGAGAAAGCTGGTAAGGGTTGTTGCGTATTGTAAAAGGTTCTTGCGATCAACAAAACGTCGCAAAACTAATATTGAAGTAACACCTTACCTGTCAGTTGCGGAAATCCGGGAGGCCTTAGATAAAAATGATATATTACGTGTTGGGGGCAGACTCAGTCACTCTCAGCTCCCCAATGATACGAAACACCCAATTGTAATTTCTCATGACTCAAGTTTGGCTAAGTTGGTTGTAGTCGACGCTCATGAAAGAACCTTTCATGGAGGACAACAACTAATGCTTAATTTTATACGCACCAGGTATTGGATTAGCCGAGTGAAAAATATAGTTCGAGCACACATACGCAGGTGTGTTCCATGTATAAGATATGCCGCTACCACGAAACAACAGTTAATGGGCGAGCTTCCAGCTTGCAGGGTTACCCCAAGCAAACCATTTTACAACTTCGGTGTCGATTATGCAGGGCCCATCAACATGAGGGTATCTAAAGGTCGCGGACTACGGTCGTATAAGGGCTATATTTGTTTGTTCGTGTGTATGGCCACACGCGCCGTACATGTTGAACCCGTTTCAAATCTAACGACTGAAGGTTTCTTGGCAGCCTTTAAACGATTTGTTTCTAGACGTATACATTGTCGTCACATCTGGAGCGACAATGGGACCAATTTTGTAGGTGCTGCCAAAGAATTACAAAAGCTTTTTGCTCGAGAAAGCTCATTGTTTAAAGACATCGCTGCTGCTCTGGCCAACTCTCAAACCGAATGGCACTTCATCCCTCCCCACGCCCCAAATTTTGGCGGACTGTAGGAAGCAGGAGTAAAAAGTGTAAAACACCATCTGAAACGGGTCGTCGGCGATTCCACACTTACGTTTGAGGAGATGTCCACAGTTCTCTCTCAAATTGAGGCGTGCTTAAATTCTAGGCCCTCTCAGGGTAGCAGTGACCTGGAAGATCCCGCACCTTTAACCCCTGGGCATTTCTTGGTAGGTCAACCAGTTGTAGTACCACCTGACGACAATTATGAGTATGCTACAGTAACTACTTTACGCAGATGGCAATGCAAAACTTTGGCGTAGGTGGAAGCAAGAATATTTGACTAACTTCTTCCATCGACACAAATGGGCTGCTCGGATTCCTGATTTTAAAATAGATAATATAGTTTTAATAAAGGATGATAACTTACCTCCAGCTAAATGGTTGTATGGTAGAATTACTGAACTGCATCCGGGCAAGGACAATTTGACGCGCGTTGTCTCTGTACGTTGTAAAGGCACTACGATCAAACGTCCAGCTTCAAAATTATGTTTACTGCCTGTCACTGAATAGGTAGTTTAAACTTTCGTTTATATCAAAGTATTTTATTTTACCTTTGTAAATGTTTGTTTAGTTGTTTTTTTTTTCTATTTATATTGCATGAAATTTATATTTTATCCTTGTTTTTTTATACATTTGTTATTTTCGGGTCATTAGAGTTTAAATCAGTTTCAATTTACCTACAGCTTTATTGTAAAACATGTTTTTTGTTTATTAGCCAATCAATTTACATTTTTAATTGTAACTCTATCATAGTACCACAGTGTAAGAAAAGAATTCATAAATGCACTGTCCACTATTTGACATTTTGTAATCATACAGTCCATTGCACTTAGACCTCATGTTGCCGAGTTTTTATGGTGGGCGGTGCTAAAAAGAAATTATTCCTTTTGGTGGGCGGAATGTTCATATCTATTTGACTCTCGCGCATTCAGTTTATATAATTGTTTGTAATTTCGTCAATAGATGGCGTTGGCGAGCAAATTAGATCGCGCTATGGTTTGGTTACACGTCCGGGTATATAAACCTTTATTAGTTACCAATAAATAACTCGCTCTGAGGTACTGAAGTTTTATTAAAACGGGTATCACTGGGATTTGGGGTATCTTGTGCCGATAAGTTGTACATTGCTAAAGAAATAATGATCATAACATAATATGGGCCATTTCTCCGTGCCTTCCTTAAAAAAAAAAAATTATTAATCCAATCAAAATCTAATTTATCTAAATATTTATATTAATTACTAATATTTGGTAATCTGAGATCAAGAATAAGAAAAGTCTCTCTTAACAAAATCTTAAAATCATTTCACAGATTTGTATCTTCTTTGTCGGTGTCATAATTCCAAAAGTCAATTACTCGTAATTTCTTCTGCTTTTCATATATTTCGTCTTTATTTTCTTTTGTGTAATTTTCATTTTCAACTACTCTTACCCATAATAAACTTTTTAGTCTGTTTGATTATTATTATATACTAAGCTGAAGCGACACGCGCTGTGGAAGCAAACAAGTGCCTGACAAGAAGATCCTACTACTATAACCTTAAATTAATTACACATGTTACCTATTATAAAACTCAATTTTTTATATCAAGTTACTTACCCTCACGATTTTTTACAATATTACATTACTACTATTTCATAATATCTTACATTATTTACAAAAAAATATACAACCTTTACTTTATACCAACACAGTATCATATTTATACAGCAAACATAATGTGCAATGGGATGTTGTCGTGTGGCAAGGTTCTCAAAGAATGTTATCCCGTTTTTCAACTAATTAATTACCGCGCAACTATAAAAATAAAATTTAAGCTATTGTTTAGAATTCAACCACATATATGTGACAGTGTGCCAAATGACAGTCTTATTAATCTAATCGCATATGCATGTAAATATGAAGTATCTTACAACAACATTAATCATGACAAATAATTATACAGTAGCTGAACTGGACTCGATCGGTATAAACTGTCATTTAATTGGTACGCCTGAAGAATATCATACAGCAATCCCCTTGAATCATAATTTTAAAGTAATTACATATAACATAAGGAGCATAAACAAAAACTTTGACAGTTTCATTGTGACGTTGCACAGGCTGAAGACTTCTTTTGATGTAATTGTTTTTACGGAATGTTGGTTAGATGAGAACACCGTTGTCCCTCACTTACCATCGTACACTTACTATTTTACAAAGAAAAAAATTAATCAAAATTCGGGTGTAATAGAGTATGTGAGGGAAACCCTTGGCGTTTGTGTCTCGGAACCGGAACTGCAAGATGCAAATTGTCTACAACTGACATTAGATAAAGGAATTACAATCCTCGGTGTATACCGGCCCCCGTCTTTCTTAAATTTCAGCAACTTCTTTAGTTCCCTGGATCAAGTCTTGAAGAGTATCTCCAACAGGAACACCAGGTTGATTTTGCTAGGCGATATCAATATAGACTTGCTCCTATCGACAAGTACTCAAGATCTAGTGTATCAATGTCTCACTTCGGAACATGGACTCTTCCCTGCTATAACGAAACCGACAAGAGGTAATAGATGTCTGGACCATATTTTTGTGAATACCACTCAGGGCACCACAGGCGTAGTATGCAGCTCCGATGTAACCGACCATTACATAGCAATACTCGGGATGGCTACTACGAAAAATCCTGAAACAAACTGTAACAGAAATGTTCTTACACGTGACGTGGAAGCAATAAAGAAGGAGCTATTACATGAAGACTGGGCCGCCTTACTAGACAACGTGGATATAAACCAGGCGGTAAATTCCTTCTGCAGCCGGCTTGCTGAAATAATATACAAGCACTCGAGAACAACCAAAATAAGCCACTCGAAATTTATTATTAAGCCGTGGATTACTCCAGGATTAATTCGCTGCATGCAACATCGCGACCAACTCCATTTACGCGCCCGAAAGTTTCCCAATGATCAGATTTTACGTTTAATTTATTCACGATACAGAAATTTCTGCAATAACTTGCTGCGGAAGCTCAAAACTGAATATGAAAACCGAGAACTTTCCAACAGCACAAATAATATCAAAAAGCTCTGGAAAACTATAAAATCAATATGCCACTTGTCCAAAACTAAGACAGAACCGAAGGAACTCCTAACTCTAAAAGGTAGTACTGACCCCAGATATTCTCTGGACATTTGCAACACATACTTTTCAACTATCGGTGAAAGTTTGGCTGGTGACATTTTACATGGACTCAACCAAAGTCAAGAGACACTGGCAGCCGAAGTCAAAAGCCAACTTGTCAAGAACTCTTTTTTTTTGCAGCCCACAGACGAAAATGAAGTTGAGTCCCTTATACTATCCTTGGCAAACGGCAAAGCGCCTGGTGTAGATGGTCTTACTAGTACTATGCTGAAAGAAATACGAAGAACTATCCTACAACCACTTACAGCAATTCTGAACCTCAGCTTGCAGTCGGGTGTCTTTCCGGAGGCGTGGAAGACAGCGTCCATTACACCGATTCATAAAGATGGGCCTAAAAACTGTGTAGCCAACTATCGTCCAATATCTCTTTTGACTGTATTCTCCAAACTTCTTGAGAAAATTGTCAACAACAGGCTTGTATCTTATATCGAATCAAATAACCTTCTTTCCAACAGGCAGTTTGGTTTCAGGCGAGGAAGATCCACGGAGGATGCGATAACGCTACTTACGTCGACACTGGCGTCTCATCTCGACAGAAAGAAAGCAAGCATAGGCATTTTCCTGGACTTAGCCAAAGCCTTCGACACCGTCTCAACGCCGATCCTGTTGCGAAAACTTGAAAATCATTTTGGGGTAAGGGGCTTGGCTCTGAACTGGTTTAAAACATACCTGACCAATAGAAAACAGTGTGTTAAAATTGGAAGTCATGAAAGTAGACTTCATACTATTGATTTCGGCGTTCCTCAGGGTAGTATCTTGGCCCCGACTCTGTTCATTATGTATATGAACGACATATATGAGAGTGTTAACGCAGATATCATCTGTTATGCCGATGATACAGTGATTGTCTATGAAGGTTCCTCTTGGGCTGAGGCGTTTCTGAGGGCGGAAACAGGTATGACACAGATTTCAACATGGCTGCAACATAACCTACTAACTTTAAACACCAGCAAGACCAAATACATATGCTTTCACAAAACTGCAGCGTCAGCCCCAAAACAAAACCCTAAGATAAAAGTGCATGTTTGTTTGGACCAGGTGTGTTGCGACTGTAAAGAAATTATGAAAACTGACACCATTAGGTATCTTGGAATACTGCTTGACGAACACCTTAACCTCAATATCAACTCGAGTTAGAAAAACTGCTAACATTATGAAACTACTTCGGTCCTCGGCATCACCATTCGTTCTGCGACAGGTTTATTTTGCCCTTACACAGTCACTTTTAAATTACTGCATAACTTGCTGGGGTAGTGCACTGAAAACATTCATGTTGCAAGCAGAAATAGCCCAGCGATCTTTTTTGAAAGTCACGCAGGAAAGACCCTTTAGGTATCCAACTAATGAGCTCTATAAAGAATGTAAGGTCTTAACTGTGCGACAACTTTATTTTCTCCTAACAATACTGAAAGTTCATCGTACTGTTGTTAACACGGCGGAACACAGTAAATTACTTGAACGTCGTGTTTACAAATTGCCATTGCCTACTATCAAAACAAGTTTTGCTAGACGTTTTAGTCCATACAAAGATTTATATATATATAACAGAATTACAAAGCTCTGCGATATAACGCTATGTTCTGTGGGGGAGGCTAAACTTAACATTACACAATGGTTGCTTTCTTTGACATACGACTATACAGAAAGTCTGTTGGCACACGTGGCATAAATGTTGCGCCTTATTCTTTGAGAATAATTTATTATATTACACATAACATATAAAGTACCCTAAACCAATATAGACACACACATTTAGTTATTTTTATCTTTACAATATTAATATCTATAAAATAACCTCATGCATGTATTTAAAAACGCTGTTTTGCCAATATTATTGTTTTCCATTTTTAATCATTTTTCATATTTTTTTATCCCTTTTTTTTTTTGTTGCCAACTTGTTTGGGACGGCAATTGTTTTCTTCCAAACGCATACTCGGAGGAAATAGATTGCTGTCTCAAATATAAGCAAGTAACACTGTATACATTAAATTGAAAACGACGATGTAATGTCTACCGAACAACAATGTATAGCGAAATGTGTAATCGCAACTGGCACCCACAGGACAGGCTTGCCTAGTGTGGGGCCACCGGCAATGTATCACATTTTTTGTACTTTTCTTTTTGGTAATAAATGAATTTGATTTGAATTTGAATTTGTTTTCTTTTAGCAAGATTTTCCTTATTAATGTAAAAATTTCTATTTTCCCAATCAGTCAAATTTATATCCGACAGTATTTTAACCTTTGGTGAGTACGGTCTATTTGGCAATTTATCTTCGAATCTGATTGATGGTTCAGAACGAGTAATTGAAAAATCTGGGTTGCTTATTTCTTTTATGAGTTCTGGTGTTGTATTCTTATCAGTAAAACTCTGAAAGTGATTGAAAAAGGTGTACTTTTCATGATGACGTCAATTCTAGCCAGTTTCCAATATGTTTATTTCCATAGTATCCAATATGTTTGCCGTGAATGCAAGTAACTTGAACTGACTGACTTGACTTGACTGTGTCACACAGAAAACAACTTTATTTTCTTAAGGTAATTTTTGAACATCCAAATGCAGAAAGAGCTTAGTGTACCATCATTGTACCTTTGGCGGCTTTTAAGTTTGTTGGAAAATTTCTTGTTTTAATATCATATCTTGTTACAATACGTATCTCAATCTTTACTCTAGGTATAAGACAGGCTAGGAATGTTTCTAAGGAGTTCACGTCACTGCCAAAACGAAGTACTTGATCTGCTGTTCTTTTGAGAACAGCACCAACTCCGTCTGGTGCTCCTTTTCCATATCCAGCTTCAAAGAATTTCCAGGTCACAGATTTTAGTTGCGGAAAATCGCGATACAGCTGGCTGATCATATAAAAAATGAAACGATTTCGATATTGACTTGTTGGACTGTCGGAAACAAAATGTACTGTGTCAATCTGGCTTGAAAGCTCCATCACATACGCAATAGTCGGTATCAAATGTGCCCAGACAGCTGCTGCATCATGTTGGGTACATTCACTTACTGTGCAAAAGCTATATTGTTTTTGAATTCCAACTTCTGGATCTATCAAATAGATAACACATGTGTGCAATGATAACTGCATCCTACTTCCACCACAATGAAAACTCTGCATTTCCTCGTTATATTTTACGCAGTAGTTCTCACTAAAGTCAACATGAATCACTGCTTCTTATGGATTAAGATTATTTTTAGGCTCTTTAATATTTCTATACTGAGTTAAAATATTAGTGCAGTGTTTCATATAGCCAACGAGAGAGTTTTTTAATTTTGAAATATAATATTTCGTTTTGTCAACAAATCAACATTAACGTGAACTATGCAAGCACACATATTTCTGCTTGATTCCTCTGGGTATAAAACCCAAAATTGACGATATTTACAAAAGGTTTGATGCGTTACCTTGACATTTGAATTATGCATAAACTTCTTGTAAAGATTAGTCAATGTGTCTGTTAAGTATCTTTTCTGCTTTCTTATTTTGTTTCTAGTAATGTATTCTCTTTTATCAGCTGCAATTCTAGTTACTGCGTCATAATCGAAAAACTCCAAAATTGCTCTGTTAAGTTCTCACTCTTATTTGTTTGCGTCAAGAGCTTATATTTTTATTTTTTTTTCTTTTTCAGTCAGTACCACATTAGAAAACTCTTTTTTATCTTTTTTTTTTAAACACGTATACCCTTTTTGAACACTACTTCTAAGGATTTCGCTAAACATTAGTTTCTTTTTAATTTCTTCACGTTTTTCAATGCCTTCATTTTGTACCAAATATTCTATTTTTTCTTCAGTCGTTATATTTGCATTTTTCTTCTCATTTTTCATTACTCTATAAAACATTTTTCTAATGGCGTCTTTCTGTTTTTTCATTTTTTCTATGTCTTGTTTTTTAAATGCCGATTTCTTTTTTATGTCGGTAGCGAAGCTTTCTTAGAAGGACATTTTTTTTTAGGCACTGTTGACAAGAGTTATGGTTACCGGAACCCAAACAATTTAAAGAAGAACTTGGTAATGGGCTTACAGTTGGTCTATCGAGAGGATCTTGTTTCGCTGAGATTACTTCAATGTCACTATTTATTGGAGAATTCTCTAGTAATAGCTGTTGTATAACTTTTTCTTTCTTTTTCCTTTCGTAGTGACGTATCGATTTTCGAACTCTCCATGTTTTTCTTTGGACTCTTAATTGTCTCGGTGTCATATCTGCTGCGCTTTTTATATTTTCTGTTCTTTTCTTTTAAGATACCTTTTGCTTTCTCTTTTGCACTACTTTTCGGGGTCTTACTTTATTTCTGCATATTTACTTTTTTTTTGTAGTCGATCTCGCTCTCGTTTCTGCTCCAATGTTTGTTTGGTTTTCTTTGGCATCCTTAGCGATCTAAAGAAGTAATGTTTTATTTGCTTTATTTATTTTTATTATGCTTTTTTTTTTAATTATAATAATTGTATTTTTTTGCTTAGCCAGTTATCGTCACAGTTGGCAAACATAATTTTGCAAAAAGAAAATAGCAAATAAAAATGAACTAACATAAAATACATTATAATTGCCATCGTATTAATCTCATCACCATCGCTCAAAAAACGACGGTAAACGAAGG